CACTGCAACATCCGCCTCCCCGGTTCAAGTGATTCTCCTGCCTCAGCCTCCCAAGTAGCTGGGACTACAGGCGCCTGCCACTATGCCTGGCTAATTTTTTAATATTTTTTTTTTAGTAGAAACAGGGTTTCATTATGTTGGCCAGGCTGGTCTTGAACTCTTGACCTCAGGTGATCTGCCTGCCTCAGCCTCCCAAAGTGCTGGGATTATAGGCATGAGCCCCTGTGCCTGGCCAAAAAATTCTTTAAAAGACATGACAAAAGGAGAGAAAACCTTTTAAATTAGGGGCTGGCTCTTGATTGATTTAATCTAAGGAAAGAAATTGGAGACTAGCAAAAGCTGGAGTGAGCAATGAGCTAAGAGTTAAAAAAAATTAAAAAAAAAAATGTAAAAACTTGAAATTTTAACATCCTAAAAATGTTACTCAGTTTTTCTTCCCCAGTACAATGGCATTTTAGCTATTCTGCTAGGAATGAAGATTGCAGATAGCATCAGACCTTGGGGGAATGCAACATCAGACCTGGAGGCCTTCTACTTGGCTAGCCGGATGGGTTATGGGGGTTTCGTGAACTTTGATCCTCCCACCTCAGCCTCCAGAGTAGATGGGACAATGGGCATATGCCACTATGCCCTGGCTAATTACTTATTTTTTTGTAGAGATGGGGGTCTTGCTATGTTGCGCAGGCTGGTCTTGAACTTGTGGCCTCAAGTAATCCTCCTGCCTCCATATCCCAAAGTGCTGGGATTACAGGCATGGGCCACCATGCCCGGCCAGTGTCCTCATTTTTTAAAGTGGGGGCCCACCTCATGGGGCTGCTGTGAGAATTAAATGAGCAAATCAATGCAAAGCCCTCTGGACAGTCTCTGGGCAGTAACTACTGTTATGATCTCATCTGGAACACGGATTTGGGGGTTTTCAGCATGGAGGTGCTCAGCGAAGTCCAACAGTGTATTTCAAGCCATGGGAGTGGACGAGATGGCCCAGCACAGGCAGGAAGGACGGACCAAGGGTGACCCCCAAGAACACTCATGTTTAGTTGATGGGCGGAAGAGGGGTGCAAAGAGCTGATAAGGCAGAAGACAAACAGAGCACAGGTCAAGCAGCCAGGGTCAGAGAACATTCCAGAAAAAGCATACAACAGCGTTAAGGGCTGTGAGATAAGGACGGTAAGATAAGCATACGATAAGGACAGAAAACACATGCCTTGGGTTTAGCGACCAGGAGGTACGGGGGACAGGGAGGGAGTTTCAGAGGGCTGCAGGACTGCGGGGAATAGGTGGCCTGGGCTGGGTCTCCTCACAGCAGCAAAACTCGGGGACAAAAGAAATCATAGCAGACAGCACCGTGAGCCACAGTCTCATCTCTGACTAGTCCATGAGAGCTGAGGCTTAGGGCAGGGCCTGCGACAGAGCTACACAGTGGTGTGTTATGGAAACCTCAGGGCAGGGGTTTCTGTCACTGGGAGACATCAGTCATGTTCAGGGCTACCTTGGTGTGGGCACAGTCACTGCTTCGGTCTCATTTTCTTCCAGCAACTTCGTGTATGACGACGGGAACCAACCCCTCCTACCGGCAAAGAGGGAGAAAAGATGCTATCAGCAGTAGACAAGTGGATGGCAACCTCCCTGAACAGCCTGATGAGAGCTCAGGGCAGACCGGTCCCTGGCTCCAGAAAGGCCCACGTGTGGAGGAAATGAAATTAAGGCTTTTAATAGATAAATATGGACTTTCACATACACTGAACCATGTGTATTATTAACAATTTTTCTTTTTTCTTTTTTTTTTTTTTTTTAATAGAGACAGGGTCTCACTCTGTTGCCCAGGCTGGAGGGCAGTGGTGCGATCATAGCTCACAGCAGACTCGAAC